GTTTTTCAGAGGCACGCCACAGGTAACGCGCTGGCCTGAAACGGAAGGGCGGCCGCGGCGGCCGCCAATAAATCAAATCGGCGGCCAGTCTTGATTTTCGGGCCGGCGCGCCGTGCCCGAGGCCGACATATGGGAAAGGTCCCGGTGGTTTAATAGTGGCCTTCCATATTCACTACCGGCCAGGGCCCAAACCAGAAACCTCTTACCGCATATTATACCGCTACAAGCTCAACTTAGACTCCGGGGACCTGGCGGTTCAAACCGCCAGTAGTAAACACCCAGGCAAACCTGAGAATCTAAACCGAGTCATCCGAAAAGTTGCGGTGAACAGTGCTACTGGACTGAAATGGCTGGCGCCGCTGGCCAAAAAGGGGGCAAAAAAAGAAGATGCTAGTGTTTCGGCAAAGCTTGCCGCACAAGGGGAGTCCACCTCAGCAAAAGGAGGCTCAGACCACCTCAACGAAAAGAGGCGCAGATGTAACTCGTGGTCTAAGGTTTGAACCCAGGTCACCTTCCTCCCCTGCAGCTGACCCAAGAGCACAGATGGCAGAAAAAGGGTTGCCATGTCTTCGTTTTTTTTTGTAATTGAACACCACCTTACCACTAGGGGAGGGTGATACAAGCACCACCCCCTAGTGGCACGGTGGGGTGCTCCCATCCGATCTATATATTGGTGGGGAGAAGCACCTGCTTGAGGACAGATGTGGCTGCTAGGGGTTCCCCGTAATACTATAATGACAGAAAAAAAAGGCCTGAAAAGGCTGTCCTGTCCAGATTCAACAGGTAATTGAATTGGTTCGGGTAGGCGTCCGACCTTTTCAGAGGCCGAAACGAAATGACGGCCGCCGATCAGATTTATCAATGGCAGTCGTCGTCGGGCCCGACCTCCGAATATTCAGGAGTTTGGGAAAACTGCCAGTTTTTCCCTATTTTCCCACGCGGGAAATGCACAAACTGACAAATCATTCACACGAAACATACATGCACAGACACGCGTATTTCGTAGCCAAACAAGTCTGGCGATGGCAACAGAATTTATTCAAATGCTTAGCCACATATGTTCGCAGTGGTAGCGAATTTCCCCGTGCCTCGCTCATCAAAGCATTCCGCGCTGAACTTCTCCCTAGTACTCTGACCAAACTCCCCACTTCCCACATAAGAAAGGCGTATCGCGCGTCATCCGCCCTACCCGCCTACGATACTGTTGTCAAGAAGGACGAGCACTGACACACTCCGTCCCTATATACTACGGCCGCGACAAACCAAATTACTTCCTACCTACGTAATACGTACGAGTTCACTCCTCAATTTCCAGATCTCATCGCGTTTCTCCGCGAAGGCTCCGACGACCTTCGAGAAAACACTGTCGGGAAAACTCTTTGCCCGATATTCTTGCCTCAGGAGAAACACCTGTACCGGAATCCCGGTCCGATCCGTCGAGTTCCGGTCCATCCGATGCAGGCTCCCTGCTATCGCCGCGAGCTTCTGCTTACGACTTGTCCAGGACTTAAAATCCTGGCCAGTTTTATCACCAATGTTTTTTTTGACCAAATGGTCCTTTCGTTCTTAACCTTCTGCAGGGACCCCAAAAACGGAAAAGACTTGCAGACCCTCAAACGGCAACCCAAGAAATCCCATTCCCCCGACCGATCATCTGTTCTTTTCAAGGTGAGATTCCGTGGGTAGCACTTTTCAAACCTGCCCACGCGGGAAAGGTACTAGTGGTTAAAAAAAAAAAAAAAAAAAAAAAAAAAAAAAAACTGGGTCCAGCGAGGTGTTTTGTTTTTCAATTTCCAGAGTTAGCCTTAAAAAACAAAAAAACAAAAACTGGGTCCAACGACGTCCTGAATGACATATGGAGCTTTTCCACTACATAGAGCCTCGAGGGACCACTCACCAAAACACGTTTTTGGTGTGTGTCACCACCACACTCAGTTGGCCTGCAAAACAACACTGCTCTTTTAGGTGAAATCGAACTCAAAAAAAAAAGAAAAAGGAAAAAAAAGAGTGCTAATTAAAAAAAAAAAAAGTCAGTGACGTCCTTTAGCTGTAGAGATCTGTTAAGCCTTAATCGCGGCCGTCGTTGCTTGGTTAAACTGAAGCAGAGGGGTCGATTAAATCTTCTTGACAGTATATCACTTGGACTTTGGCTTGGGTTACAAGAATACACAAGGCCCAAAAAAAAAAAAAGAAAGAAAAAAAAAAAAACGAATGCACAAGGCAAGACACGTCCTTTAGCTGTAGAGATCTATTACCACAACACCCTGAAAAAAAAAAAAAAAAAAAAAAAAAAAAAAAACCTTGCTCGCGGCCCTCGTTGCGTGGTTAAACTGAAGCTGGGTTCTGTACCCTTGTGCATGGTTACCTCTGGGTTGTTAGTGAGGAATTCCCGGACTAACTGTTCATTGTTCTTTTATAATGCATTTCCTGTGTCTGTTTCCCGAAGAAAAAGAAAAGGAAAAAAATCATTTCGCACAATTGGTGAGTTATGGAGCGAGGCCCTATGCAGGTCATGGAGGTTTGTAGACTGCAATGCAAAAAAAAAAAATCACCCACACCAGATTTTCTATTTTGTATTCAAAAAAAAAAAAAAAAAAAAAAAAAAGATTTTCTGTTATGCGACCGACGGTGGTTGTGCAGGTTGGAAAGCAAAAAGGTTCGGCGAAAAAAAAGTGCAAGAGTACACTTTGCACGGCCGTGTGTGAGTGCAACTGCCATCACAAACTAACACACAGTAACTTCTTCAGAAACATTCTGCACCGGAATAGAACGTCCGGTATTTATAGCTGCATCTGGACCAAATACGGCTATCACAGGGCATTCTATTTGGGTGAAGACGGGTAGTTGCAGTCCACATGCAGCCGTAATTTCAGCCAGAGACATCCGCTAAAGCCCTACTACTGTGAGTTCTCTCTATACCTTCTTCCCCCGAATACAACGTGCGGTCATCATAGCTGTACGTAGACTGAAAGGTACCACAAATTCAGCTATAATCAGCGTAGTTTGTATTCAGGGGAAGACTGTAGGAGTGGCCTGAAAAGGGAGGACCTTTTACCCATCCTTGAGTGTGTGAGGGAGTGTGTGATGCTGACAGATGTAGTCAGGAGTTGTGTACTTTCTCTTGTTAAAAAAAAAAAAAAAAAGAGTTATCATTTATGTACTTAATGGTAGTGGAGCAGGGGCGAGGTCCCGCTAGCAAAGCGGATTGGATGAAGCGCCTGAATCTGGATGGGTTTTAAGCAGAGATGCAGAAAACCAGATCAATGCCGATCTTCTGCATCTCTCCACGAACACGTCGAGATTCAGGCAGGCACTGATTCCAATCCTCTTTGTCAGTGTGGGGCCTTGCCCCAGACGTGGTTGTGCACACTAGTCTGAGGGCATACTCATGGCCTTCGCAAAATCATTTCCCAAATCTTCTTTTTTTTTTGCACAATTGGCGCAAGTGTTAAATGTCAGTATGGCCTAATACTTTTTTTTTTTCTTTTTTTTTTTTGAATGGCCTAATACATCATAAGGTGCTACACCAGGTTCTCTTCCTCAGGAATATGGGCCCTCGCTCCACTAAAATGTGCAAACGAGAGTGAATCTTCCGCTAGAACATGGAAAGGTACACCACCATGATTTTTGTCTTTTGTGCATTTCGAGAGTAGTAGAGCGAGGGGCCCTATATCACACTTCCACATTCCCAATTGAATCTGACCGTAGTCACGGACAGATGCATTCGTTAGTAGAGTGAATAAGTATGCCCCAAACAATACTTTTACTGAACATTTATAAAAAATTTGGACCATTTCTCGATTTATGCGTGTCTTCCTTGCGCAGGGGCCATGCTAATCTTCTCTCTCTGTATCGTTCCAATTTTAACGGATGTCCCGAAGGACTTTACTGAACATTTACGTTGTCACAAGCAGTCGCCCCGGAATAACGGTAACCATCTGCGCAATTCAAACAACAGCGAAATGTACTTAAAAAAACATCCCCTGAAAAATGGAATGAAAACGAATTTAATGCATTTTTTCTGAATGGGTCTAACTGTAAAAAAACTCGTAAAATTCAGCCAAATGCCAGATACACAAAAGCTTCTACCTCAGATAGCATCAGTTCTTCTAAACCATGTGATGGACAGATGGAGATGCATCTGGTTGGTTGGTTGAGGGGGTGCGAGAGAGAGAGAGAGAGAGAGAGAGAGAGAGAGAGAGAGAGAGAGAGAGAGAGAGA